AAAAAAAAAAAAAAAAAAAAAGGAAAGAACAAAAAAACCCAGCTCTATCTATGCCTCCAAAGTCATTCAGAGCCCATCACTGACTGAGCAATCTCCAGCTCTAATTCCAAGTGAGGAAGATCTTTCCAACGAAGAGACTGAACCTTTGGAATGTTCGGTTTTAAACCATTTAATTAGAAATTAGAAGGTCAAGGAAGAAAGAAAAAAAAATTATGTTTTAGATCTAAATGTACACAGAGGAGCCCATTTTTGATAAACCATAGGCTTTTATGTCACACTTTTAAGTTATTTCAAGTGATAGAGTTTTTGTGCCTCCTGTCATTTGCCCCAAAATTAATAACCTAGGACAATATAAAGACAGGAACTCTTTTAAAGGAATAATCTTGATTAGAAAGGCAATACTAACAGAACAGCAAAAAAAAGATGAAAAATGGTTTTCAAATCTAACTTCAAACCAGGCTGAAGGCTATTTTGACTCCTCAGTGTAGGTTTTTAAATTTTCCTAATTCCACCAACACTCCCAACAATTTCACAGGGTCAAACACATTCATGCACACTTCTTGTTTTAAAACCATACCCTCACGTCACATACACAAGGAGGAAGAGGGGACAGAGGAAGACCATATGGCTTCCATAATGTTTATTAGAAGGAAAGTTTTCTTTCACCCGGGGAAACCACTTTCTCCGGCCTATGGCTATCCACTGAGGCTAAGGACTATTTGTAGGAACTCAAATGAAGACTCCAAAACCAGAATTCCATTTCAGTCAGCACTGTGCCTGGCACATTTTAGGCACCCCTGTGTTTGCCTGGCAGAGGGAAGGAGATGGCAGGACACTCTGGGCAGGGACAGCCAGTGTTGAAATGTCATGTAGAAGGCCATCCTTCATTTTAAGAGTTGGGAGTTACAGCAGAAAGATACAAGACCACCAGACTCATCACCTGGGATGCGGAAGAGGCTTAATAGCAGTTGGTGGTTAAGAGAATTAATTTCTCTGTTCCGTTCATCTTTCAAGATGCCTGCTTTAGTTTAAAATCCAGCAGTTCAGTTGAGATCCAGAAGGGTACAAGGATCAAGGGAAAACCTGCAAAAGTTCCTGTCCACAAAATAAGTTACCGTTAAGAGTATATCTTAACTCTGCTTTGGAAAGCGGGAGGCTGTCTCACTCTGCACAGAAGTGCTCCCAGAAACATTTGTTGGAAACAATAATCAGAATACTGACTAGACTGAAGTACCCCTTTAGTCCAGCAAAATAAGAGCAAGTTGTGGGGTTTTTTGTTTTTTTGTTTTAATTACTATTATTTATTTTTTCTGAGAGAGAGAGAGAGAGAGCGCGCGCGCGTGTGCACAGGGGAGGGGCAGAGAGAGAGGGAGAGAGAAAGAATCCCAAG